TTTTAATGAGACAGTCTCGCTCTGTTGCCCCGGCTGGAGTGCAGTGGTATGATCTCCACTCACTGCAACCTCCGCCTCCCGGGTTCAAGTAATTCTTCCGTCTCAGCCTCCCCAGTAGCTGGGATTACAGGTGCCCACCACCATACCCAGGTAACTTTTGTATTTTTAGTAGAGACTGGGTTTCACCATTTTGTTTAGGCTGGTCTCAAACTCCTGACCTCGGGTGATCCACCTGCCTTGGCCTCCCAAAGTGCTGGGATTATAGGCATGAACAACCACATATGGCATACTCTTTAGCAAGAAACATTTTCCAAAGAAAAAATAAATTTATTAAACTTGGATGAATTAATATAATGATGATGATTATATGATTTAATACCATCATCACATATATCATTAGTGCAGAAGACCAAGAGTGAGCAATGTTGCTTTCTCTTGGAGTTCTGTGCCTTTACACTAAGTCAGTCCTGCTCAAGGTGTGGTTGGCAGATAACTGCCATTTGCAAACTGTTAATGAGAGCACAAAAATGAAAAATATATATTTAGAAGCTTTCATAACAATTTGACAAATTATATATATTCAGTCTATTATAAATTAAAGTTTGTATTTTTATGTCTTTTCTATTTTAGTTTTCAGTAATTCGTTATTTTATTATATTTTACAAAATTTTCTGTGATGGTTTGGAAATTTAAACATAAATTAGGGGAGATCGTTTACCACAGTTTGAAAAGCACTGAGCACTGCCTTAAATGACTCCCAGAGAACTTTTTTCCCCTCCCTCTTTTTCTTCTTTCTCTCCCTCCCTCCCTGTCTTTGTTTTCTCCCTCCTTACCTCCCTCCCTTCCTTTCTTTTTGGCTTTTATAACCACTTTCCACAGTTCTTTCATCTCCCTCCCTTGCTGTTCAGCTTTGGGCTGTCAGTTGTAGCTGGAACGATGCCTACTTTGAGAAGCCCACCTACAAAAGTGTTGTTAATCTACTGTTGGCTGAAAATTCAGATAACAACACCAGCTTAAATTTTATGCAAATTTAAGTACATAAATTCTGAGTGTCTGACTAGGCTCTCTTTTATAACAGAAATGAGCTTTGAAGCATGGGCTCTATTTTGGCTGCTCAGGGACAGCTTTCTGGGTTTCATGTAGTTTTAGTTTTCAGTCATTTTGGGGATGGTTGACGCTGCCATGAAAGGATCTCTCAGTACACAGTGTTACCTGGATAATATGACGTGAATCATAGAATAATGCTCCTAATTTTAAGGAATTTATGTCTCAGTCTAATAATTCCTAGTAACCATTTACCATTACAGGATACCACAAAATGTCCCAAATTTAGGTAATGCCTCTAACACAGTGTTAGAGGATGAGATTGCTAATCACACTAAAATGTAAACTCTGTGTTTGCTAGTTTTCAGAGAACTATTTGTACTTTAGAACAGATGAAACCATTTAAGAAAAGGCCTACTGCATTGCAGCAGGGTTTAAGTCTACCTGCTCCAAAGAACCGTTATTACCACTATGTGGCAACTGTGCTTAGAAAATTCAGCTTTGCTTGTGAGCAAAGGACAGAATGGAAAACTCAATCCAGCATTCTGGCTTTGCTAAAAGAGCTAATTAAGTGTACCATTTGTCAAAGTCAATGGAAAGCCTGTGTCTGGATCACTTAAAAAGGCATTAAAAAGAGAAATGGGGTCCAATAGCAGAGGAAAGGAAATTTCCTATTCTTAACTGGAAACTATGCTCATATGGTATGTATCCTAATGTATCATAATATCCTATAAAACTTTCAGTGCAATTTTGGTAGCACTTTGACAACAAATTAAGTAATTATGCTTTTATTTCAATGCATATAAGAATATTAAAAATCAAATACTTTACAGCGGCCAAAGTATGCTGCTATGAAACTTTTAGCATTATCAAATGATAAGGGCTATAAGAATAAATTCAAAAATCCTCTGCTATAATATACTAAAATAATCATGAGGAAAGAAGAAGAGATTGATGCAAATGTCTTTTATATTTCCATTTCTATCATTTTTGCATCTTTTTTCCTCTTTCCTTTCCCAGGTGACAGAGATGGGTATTGAATGAGTAAATACTCACCTGAACTGGAAAGGCTGGCTGTACTGGAGAAATTGGGCTGAAACTTGGGAACTTTTAAGACATGCAGTCAAGCACTGACTGAGTGCTGATTAGCCAAATCAGCAATTTTAGCAGCACTGTGGCTATGCCATCCTATATTTATAGTCTTTATATTATGAGATAAGAGGAGGAGAAAAAGAAGGGCAATAAACCTGATAGGCCAAACTCTGTTATAATCCCCTTACAGGATCACATGGATAGAGCTAAAATAGAATTTAGAAGAGATTGAATCTAAGCTTTGTTCTACAAAGTGGAAAAAGGCACAGAGAGATTTAGTGACTTGTCCCACTCTAAGCTGATATGTCCCTTTAATGTATTGACATTTTTGCCCCTTCCGATTCAGGCTGAGCTGTACAGCAGTAAGCTTCCATTTGCTTGCTATGTGTGTGCACCAAGAGTGACAAAATGGATTCATTCTTAAAGAGCATCAGAATCAACACTGACAATTGCCTACTTCATAACCAGAGCATTCACATTGCTAAGATTTCATGGATTCTTATTTGCTTAAAGGAAAAACATTCCAATCACTACATTAAGTCAACATACTTAACGTCCTTAGATGAAAATATAGTTCACTGTCAAAGGTGAAGTGAGGTCCTAAATACATTCTTCAATAATTATTATTCATGTTTGCATGGCATCTAACAATTTTACAAACACATGCTTTTTTTGCAATCTTTATAACAACGCTGTAGAAGGGTTATGGCAGATTGATGATGAGGAGGAGGATGAGGACAATAATGATGACTTTTTAAAGATATGTAAGTGGGAGTTTGGCAAGATTGATGAACCTTTCCTAGATCACAGAACCACTTCATAAGCAGGTCTGTTCTCTTCATGACCGGTGCTCTTTCTGTTGCTCAGTATCTTACATTATATATTTACTGTTAAAACATTTTTTAAACTTAAAAACAGATCCCTTTCTCACATGAGGCAATTTGTGCTCATTAGTAATTATAACCAGAAGGCTCAATTTACTTGGTAAATGTCACTTGTTATATAAATGGTGAACTGGTAATATGCCAAAAAGAAAACACTTAGGCCTGGAAAGACTACAAATACATGTGTTTGAATGTTTTTTTCTTATATATTTAATTTATAGCTGATTTTGAAAGGGCTCACAGGAAGCATGGGAAAATTATAAGGTAACAGATAATATTTAAAAAGGGAACTTTGTTTTAATTTTCTTAGGTGTTTCAACTTGCATTATGTTAAATGTATTTTTCCTTTTTTACAAGTTGTTAGAAAAACAAATTTTCCATTTATAAACTACCAAATAATAAATATGTTTCACAAAAAAAAAAAGAAGGTTTTGAAATGCTTACTGTTCTTTTTTGGAAAATATGTGAGGAAAGAAAGGCATTATTGGCCCCAGAAATTAAAAGTTGTCTTTTGAAGTGTATTAATCTATAAAGCATATGCACAATTATATGGCTCACTGTACTTGGGTTTACATAATTAGTTTATTATATACAAACAAATTATATAATTAGGACAATTTTTAAAGGATTATTAATATCTGAGTTAGAAATTAAGAGGTTTATGATAATCTAAAGATTATTATTTCATAATTTAAACTATTTTTTAAAGGTTTTCATTGATTTTAATAGCATATTAAATCTTATTTCTTTTTTTTTTCTCTTTTGAGACAGAGTTTTGCTTTTGTCACCCAGTCTGGAGTGCAATGGTGCCATCTCAACTCAACGCAACCTCCACCTCCCAGTTCAAGTGATTCTCCTGCCTCAGTCTCCCAAGTAGCTAGGATTACAGGCATGTGCCACCACGTCCTGCTAATTTTGTATTTTTAGTAGAGATGGGGTTTCTCCATGTTGGTCAGGCTGGTCTCGAACTCTTGACCTCAGGTGATCTGCCTGCCTAGGCCTCCCAAAGTGCTGGGACTACAGGCGTGAGCCACCACACCCAACGATTAAATGTTATTTCATATGAATTATGAAAACATCAAAATAATATACTTGCTTTCATAAATAATTTGCCCTTTACACACTTTCCCTTTAATTAAAATATATCTTAAAATGTTAATTTACAAGTTAGTCTTAATTATGTTGCAATTTTTAATTAAGTAGGTGAGATGGAACTTATGAAGAAGAAGGTATTATGGCATTACTCCATTTAAAGTAGTAGTAGTATATATTGATACCTCACTACTCATCCTATTAACTACTATCCCGGAAATGTGCATATGGTTGCGTGAAATTCATATCTTTGTTGTTCACCCCCCTCCCACAGCTAAACTCATCATTCTTCAATGCCTACTGTATTGATAAGCACCATTATTTAATCATAGTAATCATATCTGATGCATCATGCAACAGGATATACCCACCATACAAGATTACTCACCATATCAGAATCTGTGTTCTCATATCTTTTTTCATTTTCCACAGGGCTAAAAATTGATTCAGAGTGGAGTTCTCTTTTACCTATAATTTCTGAGGCTTTCAGGATGAATTGCACATTTGAAAAGATGTTTGGATACTTGTAATATGATTCTCCAGAGAAAGAAAGTGCTATTGTAAGAAAAATTATTTGTGAGAAATATTTCATTAATGTTTTGCATTGTGTTTCATTTGTCTTTTAGCTATTAAACTATAATTAAATTCAGTATTTAGATGCAGAAACTGCTGTAGTTCCCTATTTAAGATTTATAATGTTATGTATGCCCCCTGGTGGTGTAATAGAAAACTAGATGGTAAATAATTTATACACGAGTTTATATAATTCAGAACAGCAATTTCATAATCACTGAATGCCCAATTAAATATAGTTACTGTTCAACAATGCTTGGAAGCTTCCAGATGAAAATAAATCAAGTTATAATAGATGCTGTATTCATAATGGATACTTTGACATTGTAATTCTACAAACAAATCAATGTCATTGATTCTAGACCAATTGATTCTCCAGTTTTATTCCTTCTAAAGATGTTATTATTTAGTTTTGAAAATAAATATTTTAAATATAGGCAACAACAATGTAATTTAACATAACACCATGTTATATTTAATGGAACCATCTCAGTGCCGCTTTTTCCATAAAATAGTTTTTTAGACAAACTTTGAGTTTTAGTCCAACCACATAATGGAAAAATTAATAATGATCATTCTACTGGACAGCTATGTGAAGAGGTAGAGTTGCTGATAGCTTCAGTAGAAAACAGCCAATTGTTAACGGTAAAGCTGTACCCTAAGCCTCTACGATAGTTGGTAAGAGGGCACAACTGGTGATTTTATTCTTGCATATGAAAGAAAGACTAGGGGCGTATATCCTCAATAACAAGCTAATATGAGAACTTGAGGTTTTTACTCAAATAATCTTTCAAAGTTTATTTGTTGTAATCATCTGAATATTTGATAAGCCACTATGCCAAACACCATGAGGAGTTAAGAAGTTGTATAATTTAACAAAGATATAAAAACAAGTGAAATGTTAGACAAGAATTCCTATTCTGTCTGTCTACAGCCACGTCTGATCAGGACGTATGCCAATGGCACTAACTGATAAGTCTCCAAAACACTTCTGCTATTCCCTTGGTCATGGTTCCATCCACCATGACTTTTTCATCAAATATTATTCCCTTTCTTTATCTTGAATCCCTCCTTTCCTTATCCTATAATATACTAATATTTTGACTGATTTTCCACTTAAACTATTGACATATTTACATATCAGCATAAATATTTATAGCTAAGCTTTTTTTTGAAATAGGTCACAATCTTTGCCTTATGCTTAAATTTTCCCTCACTGTTTGTTTACCTCCAATCTGAATTCTGCTTCCATCTCTCCACTGGGTATGCTCCCAAGATCAACAGTGATTTTCTGATTGCAGAAACTTACCATTATTTGTCAGACCTTCTATTATTTAATATTTCTATGGCAATGTTGATCTTGAATTTCTCTCCTTAAACATAATCACTCCCTCTTATCTCTCTTATTTCTCTTTAACTGGACTCTGTTACACCAATAATCCATTAAATGTGTATGTTCCCCAAGATTTCATCCCTGGAATTAGTTTCTCCCTGCCCCTCACCCTCAGCCATATTAACGTGAATGACTGTCAATTCCATATTCCAGGCAGGCTTCACTTATTTTCCTAGTTCCAAACCTATGTTTTCAACAGCTTGCTGGGTATATATACCTGAGTGACCTTCAAATTCAATACGACCAATATTTCTCCAAATTTCTCCTAGTTCAGAGTATCATTGTCTCGTGCTATTACTCAATATGCAAAACTTTGGCTCCCACTTGAATTCTTCACTTTTCTTTACATATTGCTTAGATTCAGTCGATCACCAAGTCCAGAACCTTACTGAAGTAAGAATTTAACTTTCCTGAAATCTAGGGAGGTAGACACTATTACAAATAACGAAACTGAGCCACAAAAAAGCTCATACACTTAAGTGGCAAAGTAAAAAGGAGAATACAGAATGAGGGTTACCAGTGTCTAAAGCAGGGAATAGGTTGCGGGAATGGTTGGGAATGTGGTTAAGTATTAGGTGCAAAGCTTCAGTTAGACAGAAGAAATAAGGTATAATGGTCTGTTTCATGACATGATGACTACAGTTTATAATACTGCATTTTTCAAAATTGCTGGAAAAAAAAGTAGAGTTAGATTTTAATTGTTCTCACCACAAAGAAATAAAAATGTATGGGGTTAGAGGGACAGGGAGCTGAACAAATGCAATCTGGCCCTGAAGCTGTGCTCCTCAACACCACACCTCTTTCATGAAAAATAAAATGCAACTTACGTTCTTTATACTGACAGTCTGAGCCTCTCAAAATATAACATAAAACATTTATAAGTGCAAAAAATAAAAGATATCCTACCGTATAAATATGGTTGAAGCCTAAGTAAATGTTGTTTAAAACATTCTAGGTGACCATGCAGGAAAAATATAAAAAGTCGTAAGAAGACCAAATAGCCAATCTGTCAAAAAAGAAAAGAAAAACGCATGTTTGTGTTGCATCAATAAATGTTTAAAATCCATAAGAAAAATCAACCATTTTATTATTACATTTTCTTTTAAAAAAACAATTTTAAACTCACTCAATATTATGTTTTTGAAATAACATTAAAACATTTATATCAAGATTGAAATACTAGCTCAGCCAAAAAATCTTTTATAAATTATCTCTACATTACATATAATGACCAACACTAAATGCTATTTTTATTCTATGTCCTTTAAAACAGTGCTTTTCAAATTGCAAGTCATGCCCCTTAAAGCAGTCATGAAATCAATTGAGAGGAGATTTTTAAATAAAATAAAAGAGAAGAAAAAACATAGTTTATTGTACAATTCCTTGTTTCAGTATATAAGCAAATGTATATTATGTTAGCTGATTGCAATGCAAAAGATATTTCTATGTGTCTCAGTCAAAACAATTTGAGAACCATTGCATTAGTCAGTGTTGAGAACTATCCTGCTTCTTCATAGTATGCTGTGCTCAGCTCCATATTCCCTCATGAAAAAAGACCTCCCACAGAGTAATTATTAAATAACCAATGCAAAATCTTACTTCTGTAAGATTAGTAAAAATATAGTTTGTTTCACACAGACTACATAAAATGGAATGTCTGCAAAAATATATAATCTGCAACATTTTACAGAAAAATAGAAAAAAAAATAACTACAGAAATAAATAGAATACAAGTTGCTAAATTATGAAGAAGACCCAAATAACAGCAATGGTTGTCACTATCGTGTGTGTGTGTGTGTGTGTGTGTGTGTGTGTGTGTGTATCTCCCTTTCTCTTAACAGAAATGCAGAGTATCATTAGATATACATGTAAAAAGAAAATAAAATTTAAAAGATAAATCTAATGAAATCTCAGTGCTTCATCCAAGACTATAAAGTAAATAAGGAACATTACTGGAATTTGAACCCAGGAATGTATATATTGCTCCAAAAACCATGAGCTTTCTACTATGGCAGTTATTTCCATTTTTTTTTTATTACAAACCTCTACAATTACAAATAAATTTTGAGAATGCATTATTAGTATTTATAAGTGTATTCATAAAGTATAAACATATACTATTTGTAAACTTATAAAGTATGTAAAAATAACATGTTTATAAGGTATGCCCGAGACATCTCTTCATATACACAACTCTGTTAGAGTACTGTGTTTCTCTAAGAGACTGAAGTTAAATGTGAAAAAAATTTAAAAGAATATTGAAACACTCTACAGAATTAAAGAAAACTACTCTCATAGATACAGACAATAAATGAATAGCTAATCAGAAGGGGGATAATTTAGTATTTTATAAGGATGAGATATAAATACTGAAAGGAATATAATATTCAAAAATGTAATAGGAAACAAAATAGAAAATACATGAAAAGCATGTCAGTATGAATAACATCTATATTTATACCTCAATCTGGTCAAAGATTTCACCTGGCCCAGAGACTAACTTTAGTTATAGCTATACTCGAAAAATGGTTTTAAAAGCTTTCATCTTAATATTCTTGAAGGCCAAATTTTTATTGACAAATCTGCCTTTCCATATTGTATATTGGACTTTCTATGTATTGTTCTTCATGTATTATTTGTGTACATATTCTCTTTGTTGTTTGACAACTCAAGCTTTGCCTCCTACATTGAATTTCTGCTTGTTAGTTTCTCTTTCTCAGCTCTCCCATATTTCCTTCATTTGACCTTTACCTCCTTCTTCTCTCTTTCTATTTCCATCTCTTCTCTTTTTTCTGACCCTTTTAGCTGACTGTGAAATTGAAGGCTGCATATTTATTATGTTCATATTTTAATAGTTATATGTTTTATGTTCTTGCATAGAATCTTGAGGAGCGCCATTTATATTTCTATCTAATACATATAAAACTGCCATTGCTCATGTTATTCTGTATACTTCTGTAGGCAGAATTCAATAATTAAGAATATTGTACACTTCGAGCTAGATAGAAAGGAAAGAATGTAAACAAAATATAAAGAAAATAATATTTGGCGATCATATATCTCTGGATCTATTCAACCTTGAGCTACTTCTCCAAAGGAGAAACAAAACAATACACCTACAGTGGGTGATGCCTCTGTGATAATACCCTTTCATAAAGCATTCTGTCAAAAGAAAAGCAAAAGGGAGGCTTCTAATAGTCTTTCAGATACGCAAAGGCAAGGAGGACAACTGAAATGGTTTCTTGCTTCCTGAGTTCAAAGTACTCATAAAGGGCATGCTTATTTCCACAAGACAGTTTATATTAGCTAGAACAATAAAGAGCAAGCTTTAAAATTAGTAAATCTTGGGATTCCAGTTGAAGATGGCTCACTAGAGAACACTGCATACTCCCTCTCTCCAGAAAGAAGAATGACAATTATGAATCAATAATCACACCTCAAATAGAACAACTAGGAGGGAACGCTGGAGTCCAACAGAGAAGTTATGGGAAACACCTGAGGCACAGAGATGATGTGGTTTGGCTCTGTGTTCCCACCCAAATCTCATTTCAAACTATCATCTCAGGTGTTGGGGGAGGGGCCCAGTGGGAGGTGACTGGATCATGGGGATAGACTTCCCCTCTACAGTTCTTGAGACAGTGAGTGAGTTCTCATGAGATCTTGTTTGAAAGTGTGTGGCACTTCCCCTTTTACTCTCTCTCCTGCTTTGACATATGAAAATGTGCTTGCTTATCCTTCACTTTCTACCATGATTATAAGCTCCTTGGGACCTCCCCGTCATGCTTCCTGTTAAGCCTGTGAAACTGTGAGAATATTAAACCTCTTTTCTTCATAAATTACCCAGTCTCAGGTACTCTTTTATAGCAATGTGAGAATGAACTATACAGAAGGGAAGTAAAATCATCTGGGAACACATAGGGACTTGCTATTGGGGGAAAGGTTGTGAAAGTTTCAGTGGGTCTATCTTCCTACCATGAACTGCTGCAATCTGAACCATGGCAGAGCTCTTCTACCCACTTATTTCCTGAAACTAACATGGACAGTGAGCTAGACACCCCATAAGGGCATGGCACCAGGCAGAGAACTTGTGCTGGTTCACTCACACCCCTGAGACCTAAGCAACTACAGCAGGGTACCATTGTGAGAGCACAGCCATCATGGGGCTGTATCCTCCCTTTAGAAACATAGCCTTTGTATCTCTATATCCCAGGAGCCGCCACTGACATTCCTCAGTGTCTACCCAGGGGGCTACAATGGCAGAATACTGCTGGACACAAAGGTGCTATGGGGCCCCAGTACTGTGGCCCACAGTATTACTACTTCCAGAAAAGAGATGGTGCAGTAAACTAACATGGCAGTTCCTGGGTCAAAGAAAACCAAAGCACACACTTTCTTTTTTTTTTTTTTTTTTTTTTTTTGGAGTTTCGCTCTTGTTACCCAGGCTGGGCTGGAGTGCAATGGCGCGATCTCGGCTCACCGCAACCTCCGCCTCCTGGGTTCAGGCANCGCCTCCTGGGTTCAGGCAATTCTCCTGCCTCAGCCTCCTGAGTAGCTGGGATTACAGGCACGCACCACCATGCCCAGCTAATTTTTTGTAGTTTTAGTAGAGACGGGGTTTCACCATGTTGACCAGGATGGTCTTGATCTCTTGACCTCGTGATCCACCCGCCTCGGCCTCCCACAGTGCTGGGATTACAGGCTTGAGCCACCGCGCCCGGCCTTTCTAGAGCCTGACAGCTTCCTATCTGGGGCTATGAGAAGAAATCCTGCCCCAGCAGCAGCATACACTCTGTGTTCAGGCTTGGAGCAGAGAGTGAGATTCCATTTGCGCCACCCACCCAACACTGAAGCAGCAGTTGCTGCCACTGGGAACCCAAATGGAAGCCAGCTACCTGGGGCTGAGAGCAGTGATCCCACTCTACTGGTGGAGTGGCCTCCGTTTTTAGGCTCATGCACAGGGACACTCTCTCCCACTCTGCGTACCTCTGTAGGCTCAGCCACTGCAGCTGCCTCTAGAAGCTAGGGCAGGTGACCCTAATGGTTCCTTTCTGGCCCTGCATGGTGACCACACTCCCACTGGTAGAATGACTTCCATGATCAAGCTCACGTGCAAAGGGAAGGGCTCCTTACCTTTATGTGTAGCACTGCAGTGCTGCTACAACTGGGAATAAGCAAGCCTGAGAGCTGCATGACTGGGGCTGTGGGTGGAGACTGCATTGTAACCGTCTCCAACATCAGCATGCACTGCTCAGGACCCAGAAGGTTGTCCCACCACTGCTACTACCACTACCCACACCGTGCCACCTACCCAGGGAACCAAGAAATCACTCACTTGCCTGGTCCACCACTGTCACTATCGGGAGCTAAGCAGAATACCTAGAGGCCCAAGAATTGGCCTGCCTGGTTCTGCCAATACCAGAGCAAGTATCTTGTAGGGGGCACAAGAACAGGCATACTCATCCCACTGCTGCCACCACTGGGAACCAAAGACTAACCCATCTAGAATCCCTGTCCCCAGCCAAATTTCCCCACAGCCCCCACTTTTAACCACACACTAAACCACTGAGAAATCACAGATAACACTGAAGCTGTTTACAGCCAAAGAAATTATATAAGGATTGCACAACTGCATGTACTCAGAATCAAAGACAAAGGGCCCTACTAACCAACACTATGGATACATCTTCAGGAAAAAATCCTCCACTGTGAATGCAAACTCAAAAAATTAGAATACATTTCTATTATGCCAGATATACAGTTATCAATGTAAGGAAACATGAAAAAATAGGGAAATATGACACTTACAAAGGAACACAGTAATTCCCCAGTAACATATCCCAATCAAAAAGAAATGTGTGAAATCACAGGGAAAATATCAAAATTATGACACTAAAGAAACACAGTGATATACAAGAGAATTTCAAAAACAATACAAAATATCAGAAAAAAAATTCAAGATATGAATGAGAAATTTATCAAAGAGACACATATAACAAAGAACCAAAC